CAGAGAAGCCCTGTCTTGAAAAACCAAAAAAAAAAGAACTTGAACCGATTAAAATGGATTGAAAAATTAAAAGATAACTTGATAATAAAGTATCTAATTTGCCAACCTCACTCTTCATTGCCAACCTTGCTCTTCCACTCTCTCTCAGTGGTGCAGGAACATGTTGTCAACCTTGAGTAAATTTAAAACTTTCTAAAAATGTCTGAAATTGAATCTCTAGAGAAAATGTTTGGCTCTCTGAATGTGGCACACATACAATCGTATGCATATATCAACATGTTTTCCCTGAAGACTTCCTTATATGAGCAGCTAAAATTTACAGCTCAAAATCTAAGCACATGATTCTTCACAGAACAACAAAAACCCACCAAAACTTGCATATCAAGTCCTTACTTTTGCCATTTTCTACCGCCTAGATATAGTGAAGGCTTTGTTTCTTTAATTTTTTTGGTATTTTAAGACAGGGTCTCCCTAGATAGACCAGGCTGTTCTCGAACTCAGAGTGATTCTCCTGCCTCAGACTCCTAAAGTCTGAGGGGATTACAGATATGGACCACTATGCCTGTTGCTATATGTGGGAGGCCACCTCCCACCTTTTTAAAAGGTTCCTATGAGGAGGAGAGAGGAATAAAAACTTTTAGATAGAAAGACAGCGAGAGAGGAGAAAGACAGAAACACAGGATAGCTTCGGGAGGACCTGGATCAAAATCCACCGGCCCCTTCTGGCTCTTCAAAAGGTCTTTTTAAGGCCGGGCGGGTGGTGGCGCACGCCTTTAATCCCAGCACTCGGGAGGCAGAGCCAGGCGGATCTCTGTGAGTTCGAGGCCAGCCTGGACTACTAAGTGAGTTCCAGGAAAGGCGCAAAGCTACACAGAGAAACCCTGTCTCGAAAAAACCAAAAAAAAAAAAAAAAAAGGTCTTTTTATAAACAATGCCAAGGGGTGGGGAAAAGACCTCCTTGCTAGATCAAAGCATACTGCACAGCCAAGTGCAGACCCTTCCACATACCTGGTAACCACACCTGTGGTTCAATAATCCCCTTATGCAGCCTTGCTGGGTAAAGCAAGCTCAGATTCTTGGACCCTGAGTATGTTCTCATTAGGAAACCTCTGTGGGTCTCTACAGCTATATTGCAATTAAAAGATTTTTTTTTGTTTTTCCAGACAGGGTCTCACTGTGTAGCCCTAGCTGACCTGAAACTGGCTATGTAGGCCAGGCTGACTTCAAACCCATAGAAATCTACCTGCCTCTGTCTCCTGAGGGCAGGGACTAAAATTGTGCACCACCATGTCTGGCCTATGTTGCATTTGATCAGTGCTGATCTCAGGAACTATGACCTTTGTCCTGCAGCAATTGTATATAACCCTCCTCCCCATGGGCTCAAGCATGGTAAGTACTGAAGTGTTCGGGTTTTATTTTTGTTTTTGTTTTTTAATTCTCACAGCATGAAGAAAAAAGACAAACAAAACACCTATTGTATCTCACATCCCCTCAAACTCAAAGGGATATTTAGGCAGCAAGGAGGCCTGGGCCCTACATGGATTAAAACACAGACTAGCATCTAATGCAAGCTGAGTGGTTCCCCTCACAGAGGAACAAGAGGTGCAAACAGGCCCTGCAGAGGTGGGCGGGGACCCCCAGGCAGGCTGGGAGCACTCTGGCTGATGAAGGCACACAGGCCCTAGGTAAAGGAATCAGACGGGTGTCTATGTTTGCTGTGTGGGTCTAATGTGGCCAGACAGTCTCAATTTTTCTTTTCTTTTCTTTCTTTCTGTTTTTTGTTGTTGGTGTTGTTTTTTTGGAGACAGGGTTTCCCTGTGTAGTCCTAGCTATTCTGTATCTCACTCTATAAACCAGGCTGGCCTCGAACTCACAGAGATCCGCTCTGACTCTGCCTCCCGAGTGCTGGGATTAAGGGCGTGCGCCACTGCTGCCCATCTTGGTCTCAGTTTTTCAGGAAAATATAGAAACCTAGATTTTACTGTGAATCTCAAAATTTTTTAAAGTTCATTAGTTCCAAAAATGAGCCCAATATAACATGCCTGTGCCTTGAAATAGTGCACAGGGGCTTGACTGTGTGCTTTGGGAGCAGTAAGCAGTTATAGGCCTAAATCTACCAAATTAAGTGTTACAGATGTGTTCTCTTCCTTTTCCTCTGTTTCCTGATTTGTCATTGTTTGTTTGTTTGAGACAAGGTCTCATATAGGCCAGGCTAGACTCCATTCATTACCTATCCAAGGATGACTTTAAACTCCTGCTCATCCTCCCTTCAGGTTCCTAAGTGCTGGGATTACAGGCGATGCTCCACCACACAGTTTTTATCAACTGCTTCCCAGGGACATGACCTGACTTCCAATTACTTGACAGTGGTAATCTGTCAGCTGGTGAAGCTACAACATAGTGAGAATGAATGCTGATCCCCCTGGGTTCAAAGCCAATCTCCAACACTTACAGTCAGCACAAACTAGCAATGTCACTTAGGTTGAGCACTCTATCTTCAATTTTTTTTGGGGGGGGGGGCAGTTCAAGGCAGAGTTTCTCTGTATAGCTTTGGAGCCTGTCCTGGAACTCACTCTATAGACCAGGCTGGCCTCAAACTCACAGAGATCTGCCTGCTTCTGCCTTCCGAGTGTTGGGATTAAAGGCAATGAGCAAATACAGCTCAGCTATCTTCAATTTTTATGACCCATAAAACTCATATAATAAGACAATTCCTGGCTAGTGAGATGGCTCTGTGGATAAAAGCATCTGCTGTGCAAGCCTGACAAACTGAGTTCGAATCCCAGAGCCCATATTAAAAACAACAAAATAAAGCTGGAAATCGCAGCATGCATCTGTACTCCCAGCACTCCTGAAGAGAGATGAGAAGCAGAAACAACAAAGATTCCTGCTTCAACAAGGTGTAAAGCAAGACTCTACTGTTTCCTGCCAGGCCATACAATGTGCCATGGTACACACCACACCTCACACATACACTAAAAAATAAGTACATTTTAAAAACTTACTGTGGCTGCATTCCTGCTGAGCTACTCCTGGCTCTCACAATCCCTCCCAGAAGGCTATTTGGGGATTAAGTGACAAAGATGAAGAACCCATTGCAGAGGAAGCCCCCGAAGTACACCCAGCCAGCACTGTCTGTGAATCGGGTGCATCCTTTCTCACCACTTAGTCACAATGAATGAGCAAGTCTTGCTTGAACAGGATGTTTTTTAGAGACAGGGTTTCTCTGTGTAGCCCTGGTTTGTCCTGGAGCTCCCTCTGTAGACCAGGCTGGCCTAGAACTCAGAGACCTACCCGCCTCTGCCCCCTGAGTACTGGGATTAAAGGTGTGCCGCCGCCGCCGCCGCCGCCGCCGCCGCCGCCGCCGCCGCCGCCGCCGCCACCACCACCCAGCTTTGAAAAGGATTTCTAACCCTGCCCAAAACCTCTCTTCTCTTTATTCCCACTCTTGGCTTTGGTCCATAGCCTTCTCCCTCCCCCCTCAACTATTACAATGATCTGATATCACATCTCTTGCTTAGGTGTCCCCTCACCTAGGCCTAGGTGACTCCATCTCTTGGCTTAGTCATTTACATACGTGAAATACAGAGCTGATGTTGTCACTCTCCCTATAACCTACAGAACAAAGTCTCAATCCTTTCCTCAGGGCTCTTCCCATGCTCACATCTGATTAGCCTGGACTTCCTGCTTAATTCTTCCTACCTTAGCCATTCAGGTTCCCATCACGGCCCTCAGGGGACAGTCTTTCTGTTAAAATTTGTCCTCCATGTTCACTTGTATGGTCCCTGTTCCTTCTGACTCTTCATTTCTTTCTTTATTACTTTTTTTTCAGTCTGATTATATAGCCCTGGATGGCTTAGAATTCTCCAAGTAGACCAGGTTGATCTTGAACTCACAAAGATCCACCTGCCTCTGCCTCCTGAGTGCTGGGATTAAAGGAGTGCACCACTGCACCTGGCCCTTCTTACCTTTGTAAATCCAGCCCCAATCTCTACTACAGAGCATTTCCTGATGCATTACTAACTTTGCTTCTGCAGTTGCGCCTGCCCAGCCTCTTTAAACCCATCTCATCACTCCTTGGAATACACTTGCTGATATATCTGTCCCAGTGTGAGAAAAGACACAAAGAACAAGGACCTGCTCTTGTTTTCCCTATCATTTCCAGCCAGGATATAATGAGTGTTCAGTGCTTGCTGAATGAATTAGGCCATTGAAACAAAGGCCAAATAACAATAATAATGGTATTACTTTCAAAATCCTGTTATAAGAAAAACAGATCTAGGTGGGCATAGTGATGCATGCCTTTAATCCCAGCACTCAAGTGGCAGAGGACAAGTGGATTTCTCTGAGTTCAAGGCCAGCCTCGTTTACAGAGTGAGCTCCAGGATGGCCAGAGCTATATAATGAGATCTTATCTTGAAAACAAACAAACAAAAAAAGAAAAGGAACACGGACTACTGGAAATATACAAAGACAAAAAAAAAAAGGGAGGGCAACAGAAATACATAAAATCCACTCAGAAGCCCTTACTCCCAGAAATGTGTGCATTTTGGTTAACTATAGCAGAAAAGGTTAGTAAACACATAAAACCCAGACAGACAGGTGAGATTTTTGTGGGCCTGTTACCTCAGCTATTGGGAATCTGAGGGAATCATGAGTTCAGTGCCAACCTAGAGAACATAGCAAGAACTTTCAAATTAAAATGGGGGCTGATATAGCAATTCACACCTTTAATTCTAGCATGTTGAAGGCAGAAGCAGGTGGAGTTCTGTGAGTTCAAGGCCAGGCTAGTCTACACAGCAGTTCTAGGCCAGCCTGAGCTACAGAGTAAGAACTTGTCTCAACAAATAAACAAACAAATAAACCTTCTAGCTATCTAGATAGTTTGACACATCTGCACTTACAAGGCAGTTGGCATTTGTCATAGTAACTTGATCTATCCTCACTGGTGTCTGTGGTCTTGGTGGGAATGCATCTGATATCTCAGGTTAAGAACTTACCCAGCCAAAGAACAGAAAGCTGATAATTTGGTCAGAATCTGTATATCCTGACGTGTAGTTCATTTCCCATACAAGGGGCAAATGCTGTCTTGATCTTGTGCCCAAGAAAGTGTCTTTTAAAGGATGACAATACCTCAGCTCACAGAGTCACCAGAGGAATCTTCAAATGATGGTCTCAGGTAGACATAGGTCTAGGGAAGAAAATAAACATTACTTTTTGCATTTATGGTTTTTTTTTAAGATTTTTTTTTTACACATATGAGTGTTTTATCTGCATGTGTATCTGTACACCACGTTTGTGCAGTACCCGAGGATGTCAGAAGAAGGCATCAGAATTGGAATTTCAGATGGTTGTGAGCCACCATGTGGGTGCTGAACTTGAACCCCAGTCCCCTGGAAGAGCAATCAGTGCTCTTACAAGGTTGAACCGTATCTGCAGCCCCTGAATTTATGTCCTTACACACATGCCACTTGAAGTGCTTTTTCTCAAGCTTCCTTGAGTGATGGAAGGGCTGTGTATCAGCTTCTCCACCTTACCCCAGGCCAGAGTTTGCTTTGGTGGACTAGGAAACTAGGTCAGCTAGTCCAGAAACAATGGAGACCAATGTACAGCCGAGTAGGGTGGCTCTGAAGTCAGGTTGTCTGAGTTACAGCCTGGCTTTGGCAGTTTTGAGTTGGTAGACTTGGTAGAGGAACAGTTCCCATTGCAAAGAACTGAGCAAAGGGTTAAAGGATGAGAACATGCATAGTGCTTGGCAAGCACCTATTCATCTTAACTGCTTATAACAAGAAGCCAGAAAATGTTATCAGTATCATTCACTTGCAACAAGATCTTATGACCAAAGAAAGGCAGCCATGGCCATGCACATTTGTAATCCCCACATTTAGGAGACTGAGACAGGATCAAGAGGCTGAGGTCAGCTGGGCGGTGGTGGCACCTGACTTTAACCCCAGCACTCAAGAGGCAGAGGCAGGCGGATCTCTATGAGTTAGGCTAGCCTGGTCTACAGAATGAGTTCCAGGACAGACTCCAACATTACACAGAGAAACTCTGTTTCAAAAAACCTTTTAAAAAAAGGGGGGGCTTGAGGTCACTTGGGGCTACATAACAAGTTCAAGACCAGCCTAGGGCATATAGCGAGACCCTGCCTTAAAAAAAAAAAAAAAAAAAAAAAGAGTGCTGGAGCAATGACTCAGTGGTTAAGAGCACTTGTTGCTCTTGCAGAGAACCTGGCTCATACAACCATCTGTAACTCCAGTTGCAAAGGATCCAACACTCTTTCCCTGGCTGCTATGAGCACAGCACCCATGTGCTGCACATACATACACACAAGCAAAACACTCACACATGTAAAAATAAATCTCTTTTAAAATTTTTAAATGAGGGGCTGGAGAGATGGCTCAGAGGTTAAGAGCACTGACTGCTCTTCCAGAGGTCCTGAGTTCAATTCCCAGCAACCACATGGTGGCTCACAACCATCTGTAATGAGATCTGGTGCCCTCTTCTGGCCTGCAGGCACACATGCTGTATACCTAATAAATAAATAAATCTTTAAAAAAAAAAAAAAAAAAATTTTAAATGAGGGGCTTGAGAGATGGCTCAGTGGTTAAGAGCACTGATTGCTCTTCCAGAGGACCAGGGTTCAATTCCCAGCAACCATATGGTGGTTCACAGCCATACATAATGAGATCAGGTGCCCTCTTCTGGCCTGCAGGCAGGCAGACATACAGACAGAACACTGTATACATAATAAATAAATCTTAAAAAAAAAAATGTTTAAATGAGTACATAAAAAAGACCCTGTTAGTAGGCTTGAGCCATCAGAAGCTTATCTTTACAACTCCTACCCATTTCCACTATCTCTACTTTATTGTCTAACTACGGGATCAGAGTTCTCAGAAAATGGAGGAAGGAGCAACCAATCAGCTTCGGACCAAGGGAAAGGCAGAACTATCAGGGACAGAGAGCAGAAAACAGGCCACAGCCACAGAATGGCTTGCTGTGCAACTGGCTCCAGCCTAAAAACAGATCTGGTGTCCCAGTCGCCATGCTGGAGGAAAACAAAGCACATCTTCAAGCTGCTGAGTGCATGTCCTGTGCTCAGACAAAGCTCAGGTTCAAGTACGGAAGAGACACCTGCGGCTCCACAGAGCCGTGAGACAGTCTAACCGGCAGAGGAATTATTGCAATGATTTATCCCTTGATGGTAAATGGTAAAGTCAATGACTGCAATACGTTGATTCCATGAATACATGCTTACCGTCTACTATGTGCTAGGACGAGGGCTGCCCCCACACAGACACACATTTCTGTTCCCATGGAGCTTACATGCTAGAGGAGACAGACAGATGATTTTTTGTTTGTTTGTTTTTCAAGACAGGGTTTCTCCGAAGCTTTGTGCCTTTCCTGGATCTTGCTCTGTAGACCAGGCTGGCCTGGAACTCACAGAGATCCGCCTGGCTCTGCCTCCAGTGCTGGGATTAAAGGCGTGCGCCACCGCCGGGCTCAGACAGATGATTAACAACTACTACAGGCATGCTGGGGTTTGTAAGTCTAACACTCGGGGCTAAAGCAGGAAGACCGGGAGTGTGAGACAGGCTGAGCAACACAGTAAGATTCTGGAGTGGTGGTGGGTGGACTGGCACAATAGCTCACTTTCTCTGGAAGCTATCAGATGATGCAACTGACCAACATAAGGAGAGGAGGGATGGAGAAATTATCTTAGGGCTAACTGTGTGCACAAAAAATATAGCAAAGGGCTCAAAAATCTTTTGGACTCTTGTGGGGAAACCTAGGCAAGAATACACAAGAAACTTAAGGAGAGCTCCCTTTCGGTTGAGGATTTCATAGAGAGGCGAAAGACAGCTGAGGAGTTGGTGAGAACATGGAGATTAAGAGCTTGGAGCAGGGATGCCTTTAATCCTAGCACTCAGGGATGGAGCCATCTCCGTGGGACCAAACATTGTGCCTGGGGCCAACCCAGGGCCCAGCTACCGATCCTGCAAAGCCCAACAACTTGGAGGTGTTGGTGAGATTACCCTACTGATCAACCTGTTCTGCTGAGACCCATTCGGGAGAGGTTTCAGAAGCATGCAGCCTGCACTCTGAGGAAACAAGATCAGCTGAGGAGTGGGCGAGAGACCCGAGAACGTAAGAGAAGGAGCTGTCCAGCCACCGAACCAGATCACCAGAATCATAAGCCCACCCTACTTACTGGAAACAGGTAAGGCCCCATCTCTGGACCGGCAGACCAGGTCTCTAGCCCCTAGGCCCCAGCCATCAGAGCCCCAGGGACCAGGCAGCTACCTTTCCCTGCTCCCTCACCAAAAAAAACCAGCCCCTTCGAACCCAACAACCACTGGAGCCAAAAGCCCACCCTGCACCAATTGGGAACAATTGTTCCCTGAGACAGAACCCACTAACACTGATTGGACTAAGCTGCTTCCAGAGAAACAGAGCCCAACAGCACTGATTCGACCAAGAACTCCTAGTGGACCAAGACTACCAATTAGAACAAGAGAGGCACCTTCAGACACAGACACGGCCTGCACCTAGCGGAGGAAGAGATGAGTGGACACCAGTGCAAAAATACAGGCAACAACATAAAGACCTATATGACAACATCAGAACCTAGTGATTCTACACCTGCAGGACCTGAACATACCAAGGCAGAAGAAATCAATCCTAAAAATGACTAAGAAGATGATAGATTTAAAGAGGAAATGAAAAACTCTCTTAAAGAGGAAATAAAAATTTCCCTTAAAGAAATGGAAGAAAAAAACAAACAAAAAATTGGAAGAAATCAAAGAAAGCCAAGAAAAAGTAATTAAACAGATGAAGGAAACAGTTCAAGATTTGAAAATTGAAATCCAGACAACAAAGAAGAAACTTAAGGAAAAAGCATAAGGCAGCCGAGTGTGGAGGCTCACATTTGTAATCCTAGCTGAGACAGGAGTGTGTTTGAGGCCAGCCTGGGTTGCACTGTGACTTGTAGGCAAATTTGGGCTACAGACTGAGACCTTGTCAATCATAAACGAATGCTGGAGATGTACCAGGGTTGGCAGAGTGCTTGCCGAACATGACCGAAGCCCCAGGTTCCATCCTCAGCACCACACAAACTGAATGCAGGGCTCACACCTGCCATCTCAGCACTCCGGAGGTGGAAGAAGATCAGAAGTTCAAGGTCATTGTTGACCACATATTGAGTTCCAGAATTTGAAGCCAGCCTGGGCTACCTAAGACTCTGTCTCAACACACATACACACATACACACACACACACACACACACACACACACACACACACACACACCACACCACACCACACCACCACCACCAATAATAACGACAAAAGACATGAGGCTAGCATATGCTTATGACACTTATAATATGAAATCTATATTCAGAAATTGTGCTTTTAAAAAAATAACCAGAGGAGAAAGGGGGTGAAAAAAAGATTTTGGAGACAGAGTCTCTCTATTACGTGGTCCTGGCTGTCCTAGAACTCACTCTGTAGACTATGCTGGCCAAGAACTCAAGAGCTCTGCCTGCTTCTGCCTCCTGAGTTCTGGGAATAAAGGTGTGCGTCACCAAGCCAGGCTTGGTGAAATATTCTCCTATCCTACTCATTCTACTACCTCTACCATCAGGACATAAGAACCTATCTTGATAATGGAGAATGTGTCTTCGTCTGTGCACCATATGTGTGCTTGGTGCCTGAGGTGGTGGTGAGCCGCCATGTGGGTGCTGGGAATAGAACTGGGTCTTTTGTAAGAACAATAAGTGCTCTTACCCACTGAGCCAACTCTCCAGCCCTAATGGAGTCTTGACAATAGATACTCGAAGGCTTTTCTGCTCCTTAGGAAGAGGGTAGATTGTGGATAAGATATAAAAGGCTTAAGTCAAGTAGTACAAGCCTGTATTACCAACACTCAGGAGGATTGAGCTTTTGATGTCAGCCAGAGCTAAGAGGAAGCCCTGTTTCAAAAAAGAAACAAATATTCTAGTACTTGGGAGGCAAAGACAGGTAGATCTTTGTATTTGAGAGGCCAGCCTGGACATCCTGGTGTACATATAGTTCCAGGCCAGCCAAGGGAACATATCTAGATCATCATCATCATCATCATCATCATCAACAACACACACACACCATGTAATCAGATGAATAATTAAAAATGAAAGATGGGCCAGGTAGTGGTGGCACACGCCTTTGATCCCAGCACTAGGCGGGCAGAGGCAGATGGATCTCTGTGAGTTTGAGGCCAGCCTGGTCTACAGAGTGAGTTCCAGGATGGCCAAGGCTACACAGAGAAACCCTGTCTTGAAAAGCCGGAAAAAAAAGAAAAAGCAAAGCAAAAGATGGAAATATTCAGGAACAAATAGAATACCTTTACATTAAGTATGGGCATTCAAATCTGATGTGAGGATGAAGTGAACCTGTGAAAAAGGAATTAGTTACTAGTGAGGATGAGTTTGGTCCAGATACATAGGGCTCTTGTAAGAGGGCTGTCAAAACAGACGGTAAAACTGGTTGCATGGGCTGTATAGAAATATCAACAAACCTAAACTGCCGTGGCAGGAAGTGGCTTCTCGGTTCCTTCACTTTAATTGTCACTCCTCTTCCCGCTGCTTCACTGCAGGAGCCCCTCGGGTTGTGGTGTCTGCATCAGACACCTCACCTGTTTGCTGCTTCTCCACAGCCCTCTGTGTCCATCCTTTATCTGCTTTTTTACATCCTCCTACATCTCCTATGCCTGACCATGTACATCTGCCAAACCCAGCCCACTCTAGACTCATTTCTCCAACAGTTCTTCAAAATTGAAGCAGTTTCCTTCTACTTAGCATTCATTCCCAATCTTTTTTTCTCCTTTAAAATGTTCCCATTTTCCTCCTTCCCACCCTTCCTTTCTATTGATATCAGCTTGGCCTCCACACCCATAATTCTGCTCATTCCCATGCTCCTTTCAGGTCCAGAATCCTCCCTCATATTTACCCTTTCTGGATCAACAAAGTTTTGCTTTGCTCTAGCTTCTCTTTGACTTTCAATACTTCTCCAATCTCCTTCTTTACATTCAATTCTTTATCCACCTGATTCCCGGGAGCCGTCTCCAGTTGTGTCTTTCTCTTCCATAGGAACAGATTCATCAGCAGTATCTTCCATTTCATCCAAGACGACATTGTCAATTTCCCCCCCTTTCTCTGCTCCTTCATCTCCCCCTTCTACACTTTCAGAAGGAATTTGCATTTCCTGACTCATATTTTCCATCATACTTTCATCACCAGTAATATTTATCACTCTTTCAGGAGCCTCTTCAGTTGTACTTCCTGTTAGTGAATGCTCTTCCACGCTTACACTTCCGGTTAGTGATTGCTCTTCCAGCTTCATCTCGCTGGATTGTACTTTCTCAATATTTGACTCCACTTTATCTTCGGTGGATCTCAAACTTTTACCAGTTCTTAGCTTCTCTCCACTGGACCTTAATTTCTCTCTACTCAACCTCTTTTCATCACTTGACCTCACCTTCTCTTTGGAGGACCCCCGCCTCTCTCCACTGTCGGAGGCCTTCTCTCTGAGGGACCCCCGTTTCTCTCCACTGTCGGAGGCCTTCTCTCTGAGGGACCCCCGTTTCTCTCCACTGTCGGAGGCCTTCTCTCTGAGGGACCCCCGTTTCTCTCCACTGTCGGAGGCCTTCTCTCTGAGGGACCCCCGTTTCTCTCCACTGTCGGAGGCCTTCTCTCTGAGGGACCCCCGTTTCTCTCCACTGTCGGAGGCCTTCTCTCTGAGGGACCCCCGTTTCTCTCCACTGTCTGACACCTTCTCTCTGAGGGACCCCCGTTTCTCTCCACTGTCTGACACCTTCTCTCTGAGGGACCCCCGTTTCTCTCCACTGTCGGAGGGCTTCTTTCTAATGGAACCCCGTTTCTCTCCACTGTCCGACACCTCTCTGATGGAACCCCGTTTCTCTCCACTGTAGGAGGCCTTCTTTCTGATGGAACCCCGTTTCTCTGCACTGTCGGAGGCCTTCTTTCTGATGGAACCCCGTTTCTCTCCACTGTCCGACACCTCTCTGATGGAACCCCGTTTCTCTCCACTGTCGGAGGCCTTCTTTCTGATGGAACCCCGTTTCTCTCCACTGTCCGACACCTCTCTGATGGAACCCCGTTTCTCCCTACTGTCTGTTTTCTCTACAACAGACCTCCGCTTCTCTCCCGAGGACACCCGTTTCTCTCTCTTGTACATCAAGTTCTCTCCACTTGACTCCAACTCCTCACTCTGCCTCAGTTGATCCCCTCTGGACCTCAAGTCCCCTCCACTGGTCCTCTGCTTGTCCTTAGACTTCAGTCTTTCTTCAGACTCTGTCATCTCTGCACTCTTAGATAGAGATCCAGTTTTGGGTCTGTCCTCCTGCTGTCTCCAAATCTCTGAGCTGTCATCCTCCAAACTTGCTGGAGCCTGTGATGTCCTTCCTACATTGTTCGGGAGCTTTGTGTCCACCCTTTGTGTCGATCTCTCTTTCGAGATCTTCTTCCCCACAACTTCCAGCTTCCAGTTCTCAGATTCCAACTTGGGGTCCCACAGTTTAGACTTTTGCAGGTTTCTGTCCAAGAGTTCCACTCTCTTTCCAATCACGACGAGCCCATTCCAGGGCGCCCACACCTTCTCTTTCTCTCGCACTGGCGCCTTCTTGCAGAGTGGCTCGGGTGGCGATCGCCTGGGGACGTGGGCCTTGGCCTTGCTCCGAGTGCCCCGTGCCCGGGCCTTACTGCGTCCCCGCGGCCCCCTAAACTGCTTACTCCGTACTTTCGCGCTCGGGTGTGAAACCTTGAACGGAGCCTCTTTCTCCACAGACATTGCCGCCTGCCCTCGGCCCTAGCCCCGCCGACCCACTCGGGTGCCCCATTCCCCCTTACCCAACCCTCCCTCCCACCCTCGCCCCCTCCAGACTGCCCGCCCCGCCCACCGCCCGGTGGCGCCAAGATGGACTAGTGCGCATGTGCAGCTGCGCATGGGGTTAAAAGGAGGCGGGGCCCGGAACGGCCGCGTTTGTAGGGTCCACCCACGGGACCGGCACGGGACCTCTGTGACCCTAGAGCTACTCAGGCTCTGGCCTATCCTGGACCGGCTCGCTGGCGCCGCTTAAAAGCTGGCACAGGATCGACAGGCCTCACAGCCAATAGCAGCTCTCGTGGTAGACCCGGTGCCCAGTCAGGAGCAGCTCCAGGCTGTAGGAACCACGCCGGGAGGTGGCAGAGAGTGTCGGTCAGCTGATAGGATCCCTGCAGGGCCCCCTCATCCAAGCTCTTGGAACGCGCAGGCTGTGCGTCCCAGCTAAGGAGCACTATGGAGGAGTATCATCAGGAGGCTGGGAAAGAGCGTAAGGTAAAGGAAGGAGCACAACCCCTTCCTACTCCACCTCATGCCATCATACCATACCAAGCAAGGGAAGGCGGCCCTTCGATGGCCTCTGCATAATCAGGGTTTTACCTCAGTCTGCGTAGATGGAATCGGACCCGTCATTGTTACTGGCTTGATGGGGAGAACAAGGCAGTCTGCAAGTGACTGAGAGAGAGAGAATCCTGTTGAGTTTACAGGCTCACCTGTGTATTTGTGTTCATATATTTATAAGACCATCCATTCATTCTTCATTTTTTTCCTTTCAGCCTCATTCAGTAGTTATTGAGGATTTTCGTTGTTTGGGAACTTGCAGAAATATGCACTGGAGGTAGGGGTTGAAGGCTCCTGTGAGCTGTGGCAGAGGTAGGGGATGGAACCGCTATGGTCCATTCTGGAAGTCACATTTCCCTGAAGCAGCCACCAAGCAAAGTAGATTTGAGTAGAGATAAACATCAAGAAGGAAGCCAGGGACTAGGGGCCTTTCTGCACCAAGAAGCTAGGCTGCCTGTGTTTGATGTGGGGAGTCGGGGCAGTGAGGACAAAAAGCCTGCCTTGGGACCGTCAGAGAATCCAAGAAGTTGAGAGTGGGATTCAAGTGGAATTTGGAGGAATAAGAGGGGCTGAACCTGGCTTTCTGTTCACATATGTTCAAATTAGAAAATATGTATAAATAGCTGGGCATGGTGGTGCACACCTTTAACCCTGGAACTCTAGAGGCAGAGGCAGGAAAATCTCTGTGAGTTCAAGGCCAGCCAAGGCTATGTAGTGAGACCTTGTCTCAAGAGCAGAATATATATACATATATATGTTATTTGTATACATATGTTTATATATATGCTTAGAATATGTTTACAAAGTGATTAGAAACCAAGTGTAATCCCAGCACTTTTGAGGGTGAGACAGGAGGATTACCACCAGTTTGAGGCCTGCCTAAGCTACAGTGTGAGACTGCCATAAGTACATAAATGTATTTCTTTATTCGAGCCATGCCTAGCATATTATAAGGCCAAATATAAGTGTTACTTATTGGTATTGTTATGGTTGTTACTCTTATCAAATGGGTTACTATATGTTCTGAGAGTATGTTGGACTATTAAACTGATGAGTGTACTCCAGATTTGTAGGGATCATACTTTCCAAAAATCCTTTTTAATATTCATCCTGTAGGTTCAATACTGCCTTCACAAAGTGCATCTTTCAAATGGAGGGAGGACCAGTGGTTAAGAGGTCTTGCTGCTCTTGCAAAGGATCTGAGTTTGGTTCTCAGCACCCACATCAGGAGGTTGCCAGCTGCCTATAACTCCAGCTACGGGGGCTCTGGTGCCCTCTTCTCGCCTCCTTGGTTACTTGCACCCAAATGTGCATACTCATGCACACACACATACATATAAAATTTAAAAATTTAAATTAAATGTAGAGACATTAAAAGGAACACTAAAAGACTTGGAAAGTGTGTCTTAGTGGTACATTGCTTGTCTAGCAAGGTCCCGTTTGAGCCTTAGCACTTCAAAATTAATCAATAATAATGATGATGATAAATACAAGCAAAAATATAATCGAGGAGAAAGTGTAACAATATAAAATATTTGATTAATCTTATTAAAGACAAGAAAAAAAATAATAGAAAGGTAATACACAGCCGGGCAATGGTAGTGCATGCCTCTAATCCCAGCACTTGGGAGGCAGAGGCAGGTGGATCTCTGAGTTTGAGGCCAGCCTGGGCTACAGAGTGAGTTCCAGGACAGCCAGGGCTACACAGAGAAACCCTGTCTCAAAGAGAAAAAAAAAAAAAGGTGAGCCAGCAGCACAAAGAAATGATATACGTCTCCGGATGGATATGCTGTTACCCAATCCAGTCTTACACACTGTTTATGTACATGTTCAGATGTCACACTGGAGCCAGGTGTAGTGGCACAAACTTGTAATCCTAGCACTTAGGAGTTGGAGTCAAGAGGATCAGGAGTTCAAGATCATTCTCAACTACATTGTGAGGTAGAAGCCAGCCTGAGCCACAAAAGGAGACCCTGTCTCAAAATGAAACAAAGAGCGGAACAAAACAACAATGACCATTTCTTGTAAAAAGCCTGTACAAGTTTTCAGTACATAGAAATGACAAATTTTTACAAAGACGTAAATTCACTGGACAGTGGTGATACACGCCTTCAATCCCAGCACTAGGAAGGCAGAGGCAGGCAGATCTCTGTGTGTTTGAGACCAACCTGGTCTACAGAGCGAGATCCAGGAAAGCCAGGGTGACACAAAGAAACCCTGTCTTGAAAAACCAAAATAATAATAAAAGGTGAAAATGCTAATTATCCTGATTTGATCATTTCACATTATACACCTATACCAAATTATCATCACTGTAACCAAAAATATGTAAAAATGTGTCAATTCAAAGAAACTTTTAGAAAAGACATTTCTGGCCAGTGAGATGGCTCCGTGGGTAAAGGCCCTTGCCACTAAGCCTAATAACCTAAGTTTGATCCCAAAACCCACATGATAGAAAGTGAGACTCCTACAAGCTGTCCTCTGACCTATATACTTGACATGACACACATGCATACACTAACAGATAAATCAAATGTAATAAGATATTTTTCCCTGAATGCCTCAAGGGATTTAGCTATGGACATATTTACACTTAGAGATAACTTCGGAGAAGTTTTAATTTTTTATTTAATTTAATTAATTCATTTATGTATTTATTTATTTTGGTTTTCTGAGACACAATTTCTCTGTGTAACAGTCCTAACTGTCCTAGAACTTGTTTTGTAGACCAGGCTGGCCTCGAACTCACAGAGATCGACCTGCCTCTGCCTCCCAAGTGCTGGGATTAGAGGCATGTGCCATCACCACTCGGCTAGAGAGGTTTTAAATTGCACATTCAGTCCTATAAGCAAGTCTACAGATACTTTTTTCAGATTTGATAAGGTTGCATTTTTTTAAGGAATTTGTCCAAGCCCTGAAAAATCACCTAATCTATTTGAGCTAAACTTGTTCATATAGATAGTATCTTTTATTTTATTTTTATTATTGTATTTATTTATTTGGTGGGTTTTTGTTTTTGTTTTTGAGACAGGGTTTCAAGATAGCCCTGCCTATCTTGGAACTTGCTCTGTAGACCAGGCTGGCCTTGAACTCACAGAGATTGGCCTGCCTCTGCCTCCCAAGTGCTGGGATTGAAGGCATGTGCCATCACTGTCCTGCAACACTATCTTTTGTATTTGTTTTGTTTTTTGAATGAAGCATCTTAGACTGATCAGCCATCCTGACTTGCAAGGTCTCACTCTGTAGGCTGAGAAACTGTCTCAAACAAAACAAAACAAAAAAAGAAAGAAAAAAAGAAAAGAAAAATAGGTGTTAGTTTATTTTAAAGTACAGAATGTCATTTTTGTGTTTTTGAGATAGGGTCTCCTTATATAGTCCTGCTGTGCCTCATACTTTGGTAATCCTTCTTGCTTAGCCTCCTAAAGGTTGTAATTACATATTTGAGCCAACATACCCAGCTGGAATGCTTGGCTTTTTGTTTTTTGTTTTTTGTGTTTCTTTTCAAGACAGGTAAATGCTTGGCTTTTAATTGAAATGTTTAGGACATTTATAATTATTGAAATTACCCATATATAGTTGACTAAAACCTTACCATCTTACTTTGCATTTTTTTCTTGATTCCATTTTTTTCCTGCTATGTGTGTATGGTGAGTTCAGTGTTCAAATGTGTATTGGTTGTGCATGTGGAAGGCCTGAGGTTAATGTCTTTTTACAAAATATTTACTTTTATTTCATGTGTATGTGTTGTAACGGCTGTGGGTTCACGCAGGTCCGAGGAAAGAAGACACTGCCCTCTAAGGATGAAATTTTTAGCCTTTTCAGCTGCAGGGGGATCAGCTCTGACGGATTGACTCACTGTCACTTAGCAAAGGGCTTTTATTATTACCCAGTTCCCATCTTTAGCAAGTCAGTCTCCTACACCCAAATCTCTTCTCTAAGTTCTCCAAAGGGACCATGCCAATGCAGATTCTCAATCAGGAGACCTATTGGTTTGCCAAGTCCTCCCCCAACCAAGTACTGCACAGCTTTGCACTCTTAGGAAACGCTAGACAAGATTGACATGTTTCAAATGGAAGGTAATGGAGACAAAAGGTAGCAGTCACAAAAGGCAGATCAAAGCCAGGTGCTAACACACACACACACACAAATCAAACCAGCTGCAGCTCTGCAGGAGTGCTCCCTACAGGTATGGGTGTTTGCCTACATGATGCCTGTGCACTGTGTCAATCAGTGCTGGAGGAAGTCAGAATCCCCTGGCACTGGAGTTATAGACAGTTGTTAGCCACCGAGTGGATGCTGGACATTGAATCTGGATCTCCTGGAAGAGTAGCCAAATGCTCTTAACTGCTGAGCCATCTCTCTGGCTCCTGTTGATGTCTTTTAATTGATCCCAGAGTTTGCCATTTGAGCTAACCTGGCTAGCCAGCCTGCTCTGAAGATTCCCTGTCTCTCCCTGTCATAAGCTAGGGTTATGAATGGTGTACCATGCCTACCTGGCTCTTATATGAGTTCTGGGGATTCCCCACCCCTGCCCCCTGCTTGTATAGCAAGCACTTTACCTATCACCCCAGCCTCCCACCTGTTTTGGTTTTTTTAAGATCTTAAAAATTACTTTTTTTTTTTTTTTGGTTTTTCGAGACAGGGTTTCTCTGTGTAGCTTTGCGCCTTTCCTGGAACTCACTTGGTAGCCCAGGCTGGCCTCGAACTCACAGAGATCCGCCTGGCTCTGCCTCCCGAGTGCTGGGATTAAAGGCATGCGCCACCACCGCCCGGCCTTAAAAATTACTTTTAACTGTGTATAGGTGTGTGTGTCTGCATGTGGTATATGCCTGTGAGTGCAGGTGCCCTCAGGCCAGAAGTATCAGATCTCCTGGAGCTGGAGTTACAAAGGGTTATAAGCCACTGATGTGTTGGGTATTGGGAACCGTGTCTGTTCTTCTGGACGAACAGCAGGTTACTCAGTGCTCAGCCAGCTCTGGAGCCCCTGCTTTTCTTTCTCATAATATAGCCCAGACTCACTGTGTAGCCCAGGTTACCTTGAATTCTGCCCATGCTTCTCCTTCCTCAGCCTACTGGATGCTGGAATTTCATGCCTCTACATCATGCTTACGTGTGTCTTGCTTATCCTTTTTAATTTTGTTACAAAGGTTTATTTTTATTATTTGTGTGAATGTCTCTATGTCTGTTCGAGTATATGCACATGTGTGTAAAAGTGCCCATGGAGTTCAGAAGAAGTTCAAGCTGGCCTTGAACTCACAGAGATTGGTCTGCCTCTGATAGAAAAATATGGCCCACCATTTCTGCCATACAACAATTTTTTAATCTTTTTTTGTTTTGTTTTAATTTTTTTGTTTTTTGGTTTTTGTTTTAGAGATAGGGTTTCTTTATGTAGTCTTGACTGCCCTACAACTAATTCTATAGCCCAGGCTGGCCTCAAACTCATAGAGATCTGCCTGCTTCTGCCTCCCTTGTGCTTTGAATTTTGACTTCAATTTTTGTTTCATTGTATGAGTGTTTTGTCTGCATGTGTGTCTGTGCACCATATTTATTTATGCTTTATGCCATGGAGGCCAGAAGACTGTGTCAGATCCTCTGGAACTAGAGTTACAGACAGTTGTGAGCTGCCATGTGGATGCTGGGAAAAACAGCAACAAATGGCCTTGCATGTGTAATATTTAAGAAGAGAAAAAGGGGAGGTATGTGTTGAAATGGGCTAGGATGTGGTGGTGTGTTTTGAATGGGCATGTTAATTAGATGAAGCAAAGGGGCTTTTGATTGCTGGACTTCAATAGTTTGATAGCTGGACCTTGGTAGTCAGCCTCAGGAGGAAGAAGTGGCCAAATAAGGGAATAATTCTTGGGGGCCAGCTTTAGGAGTGTAATCTAATGGTTTTAGCTAGACAGAGGGGATGGGGAGAAGGACAAGGCCTGCCAGAGCCATGCTCTCCACACCCAAGCCGGCCAGAGTCCCTTCAGAGATAGAGAAGAGCTGCCATGAGAGATGTGTGGAGATCAAAGGACAACCTTTGGGATTCTGTTTCCTCTTTCCTCCATGGGTTCCAGTTCCAGAAAGCAAACTCAGGTCACCAGGTTTTATACAAGTGCTTTTACCCATGGAGCCATCTAGCTAGCCCGCAAATGGGATATCCTAAATTACATATATTGGCCAACACTTGGCAGATGGAGGCATGGTGAAGAGTTTGAGGCTGTCATCAGCTACATATAACTCCAAAGAACAAAAACAAAAACTTATTGTCAAAAACATTTTAAGAAAAAGGGAAAAGAGCCGGGTGGTGGTGGCGCACGCCTTTAATCCCAGCACTTGGGAGGCAGAGGCAGGCGGATCTCTGTGAGTTCGAGGCGAGCCTGGTCTCCAAAGCGAGTTCCAGGAAAGGCGCAAAGCTACACAGAGAAACCCTGTCTCAAAAAACAAAAAAAAAAAAAAAAAAAAAAAAAGGGAAAAGAGTCCAGATGTGACGGATGGTTCATGCCAGTCAACCCAAACACTCCAGAGGATTGGACAGACAGCCAGTTTGGCTCAGACTGCCAAGCCTGATGACCTGAGTTCAATCCCCCAAACCACTTGGTGGAAGGAGGAAACTGACTCCTTCCAAGTTGTCCTCTGACTGCCACATGTTGCCCCCATACATAAATAAGTGAATGTAAATTTTTAAAATAGTTTTTAAATCAAAACAAACAGAAAAACCAAGCCTTAACAGTAGCTACTTGCTAGCCTGTGCAGGGCCTTGGGTCCATCCCCGGCATTGCAACACAAAGGAGAAAGGCACACCAGGACGCAAACTGTAAAATATGATCAAGTTAGTTTAGTGAGATAATGTGTCAGGATGGTAGTTCTTTAGCAAGGCAATATTCTGAGAATGCAAGGTGCTCAGCATTTGAAACCAGCCAATGAGATCCAGCACAAATCCAACTAGGAAGCTTGGTTTGTCGTTGCGCCCCACCCCCACCCCGGCAGCCCCTGCCCCCCCACCCCTCGCGGGGGCCCTGTGCAAACGACCCCCAGTTGCCCGGTGCTGCCGGTTACAGGAGCGTCTCTCCGCTGCCTGGTCATATGTTGCAAAAACCAAGAAGCAGGAACCGCCCTGGTGCCCAGCCCAGGAGCGGCCGCCACTGTGGCCCAGGTGTCCCTGGGGAGGTCCCGAGTGGGCACGCACGCCCAGACACCTCGCAGGGTACCGCAGGCACCTTGTCAACGACCTTCCGCAGGGCCCAGGCCACCCCAGCCCCGGAAATCCGGACTCAGAAGCAGCTGGAGTTGAAGGTGGCAGAGCTGGTGCAGTTCTTGCTGATTAAGGACCAGAGGAAGATCCCCATCAAGCGGAATGGTATCCTGAAGCACATCATCCGAGACTACAAGGATATCTTCCCGGACCTGCTCAAGCTGGCTGCTGAGCAGCTCCACTACGTGTTTGGGTACAAGCTGGTAGAACTCGAACCCAAGAGCAACTCCTACATCCTCGTCAACGCCCTGGAGCCGGTGGAGGAGGATGCTGAGGTGAGAGGCAACCAGGGAACGCCCACCACCGGCCTCCTGATGATTATTTTAGGGCTCATCTTTATGAATGGCCACAGCATCCCAGAAAACGAAGTCTGGGATTTTCTACGTCGTTTGGGTGTGTATCCCACCAAGAAGCATTCAGTTTTCGGAGATCCGAAGAAACTCATTACTGAAGACTTCGTGAGACAGCGCTACCTGGTGTCCAGAAGGATACCTCACACAGATCCTGTGGACTGTGAGCTCCAGTGGGGTCCACGAGCAAATCTGGAAATCAGTAAGATGAAAGTTCTTAAATTTGTGGCCAAAGTCCACAAGCAAGATCCCAAGGAATGGCCCACACAGTACTGTGAGGCTTTGGTGGACGAACAGAGCAGGGTCAGACAGGAACCCAGTGGTCCAGCCCCGACTTCTTGAAATAAATGCTTGGGATTCCCAAGCATGAGCCAGAAGAATAGGGAACATGGGGTGGAAGGAGCATATTTCCACAACTATTAAAAAGTATTATCTTTAAGATGTGTTTCAGTTTATTTTTTCTTTTAGAATTGTGATATTCTATGATACTGTGCCTGTGCTGGGCGATGGTGGCACACACCTTTAATCCCAGCACTCGGGTGGCAGAGGCAGGCAGATCTCCGAGTTCAAGGCCAGCCTGGTCTACAGAGTGAGTTCCAGGGCAGCTAGGGCTACACAGAGAAGCCCTCTCTCGAGAAAAAGAAAAAAAAGAAATGTGTTGTTTTCCATTTACAGATATTATTGTATGTGCATGGTGCGTGTAAATGCATATGTGTGCCATGCACGTGTAGAGGTCACAGGACAATTTATGGAGGCCAGTGCTCACCTTCCACAGTGTGGGATGTGGGAATCTGAGCAGGCTTGGTGGCAAGCACCCATACCCCTTGAGCCAGGTTACCTGCTGATATTTGGTTGGGTGTTTTGTCTTGAGACCCGGTTTCCTTGTGAAGCTCTGGTTGTCCTGGAACTCATTCTAGACCAGGCTGGTCTCAAACTCAGAGATCCGCCTGCCTCTGCCAAAGGAGTGCTGGGATTAAAGGCCTGTGTTACACCCCCTGGCAGGGTTTTTTATCTTTAGTTGTTATTTTTAAACAGGGTCTCATATAACCCAGGTTGATCTCAAACTCCTGATCTTCCCCCTCTTGAAAGCTGCGGAGTCAGGCATGGTGGTCACACACCTCTAATCTCAGCACCCTGGAGGCAATGGTGGGAAAATTAACTAGGGTTGGAAGCTAGCCTGAGGTACATAGTTTCAGGCCAGCCTGGGCTACATAGCAATACCCTGTCTCACAAAACTAAGTACTAATATTAATAAACCATTTTATTTTAAGTATTTTTAAATTCTATGTGTGTGGGTATATGCATATGAAATCAGGTACCCTCAGAGGCCAGAAGAAGATGTTGGGTCCCCTGCAGCTGGAGTTACAGATAGTTGTTAGCTGCCTGACATGGGTGTGTGAACCCCAGTTCTCATTATTTTTAATTTTATTTGATGTGTATGGGTGTTTTATTACATGTATATCTGTGCACAGTGTTCACATCTGGTGCAGAAGACATAGGATTTCCTGGGACTGCTGTTACAGATTATTTTAAAATGCCATATGGGTGCAGGGGATTGAACTCCAGAGCAGTAGTAGTGCTCTTAACTGCTGAGTCATCTCATGAACCCCAAAATAAAAAAAATTTTTTTTTAAAGATTTATTTATTTATTATGTGTACAGTGTTCTGTCTGCACATATCCCTGCAGGCCAGAAGAGGGCACCAGATCTCGACACAGATGGTTGTGAGCCACCTTGTGGTTGCTGGGAATTGAACTCAGGACCTCTGGAAGAGCAAGCAGTGCTCTTAACCTCTGAGCCATCTCTCCAGCCCCCCCAAAATAAAAATTTTAATGCAGAGTAACAGGAAAATCCACAAAATTATCCTGAGAGAGAAATTTAATAAAAATCAGCAGGCATCTAAGGAGCATCATTAATATGACAAAAGGTAGGTAAGTATACCTTCTGTTTGGTTATTGTTTTTTTTTTAAAAAATTGTTGTGTGTGTGTATGTGTGTACATGTGATGCCATAGCACGTCAGAGAACAGCTCCGTAGTCCTTTCTTTCCTTTCCTCTTTACGTGGTTCCATTAAGCTTTCAAGACAAGTGCCATAGCCGCAGAGCCTTCCTGCTGGCCCCAGCACTGGATTTTGAAAGCATTTTTTTCTTTAAACTTTTTAAAATTAATTTTGGTTTATTCTATGCATTTGAGTGTTTTGCCTTCATGTATCTGTGTTCACCATGTGCCTGCCTGGTGCCCTCAGGAGGTCAGAAGAGGGTGTTGGATGCCTTGAAATTGAAGTTAGAGATGGTTGTGAGTATCAGTGCTGAGAACTGAATTCGAGTCAGCCAGTGCTCCTGAGCATTGGCCATCTATCCATCTCTAGCCCCTGTTTTCTTTATAGTTACATTTTTATTTATTTATTGGGGGGTGCTATGACAAGTGTCTTAGGGTTTTTATTGCTGTGAGGAGACACCATGGCAACTCTTATAAAGGAAAACATTTAATTGGGGTGGCTTATAGATCCAGAGGTTTACTCTGTTATCATCATGGCAGGACATGGCGGCATATAAGCAGGCATGGTGCTGGAGAAGGAGCTATGTCTTGACCCCACACACAATAGCAAGTGGTCTGAGACACTGAGTGTAGTAAGCAAAGGAGACCTCAAAGCTCACTCCCACAATGACACACTTCCTCCAACAAGGCCACACTTCCTAATAGTGCCACTCCCTTTGGGGGTCATTTTCTTTCAAACCACCACATTCTATTCCCTGGCCCCCAAAGGCTTATAGCCATATCATAATGCAAAAATGCATTCAGTCCAACTTCAAAAGTCCCCATTGTCTATAACAGTCTCAAACCTATTTAAAAGTCTAAAGTTCAAATCCTCTTCTGAGATTCATGCAATCTCTCTCTCTCTCTTGGTTTTTTCGAGGCAGGGTTTCTCTGTGTAGCTTTGGAGCTTATCCTGGAACTCGTTCTGTAGACCAGGCTGGCCTCAAACTCACAGAGATCCACCTGCCTCTGCCTCCAGAGTGCTGGGATTAAAGGTGTGTGTGCCTGGCTCATGCAGTCTTTTAACTGTAATCTCCTTTAAAATAAAAATAAAAAAGGAGATCACATACTTCCAACATATTGTGCTGCTCCCTGTTAGCTGCTCTCCTCAGCAGGTATCGCACAACTCTGGCATCTCTAACATCTTGGGGTCTCCAAGGCAATCCAGGCTTCTTCACAGCTTCACAAAATGGTCTCTCTAGGCCTCCATTCAGGGACACCCCTGACACATGCCTGGTCTCAGTGGCTTCCCTTAGTCGCAGAGGCAAATTCCACAGCCCATTTCTTCTATTCTTAACTCCAGAACCACGTGGCCAAAGCTGCTAAGTTCTGCTGCTCACTGGGTGGGTCTGGAACACGGTCCCCCATTCAGTCTTTACCACTTTCTGCTTTTGAGGGTTTCTCTCACTGCCTCAGCTTGACTGTCCTTCCTGAAACTGATCTATAGATCAGGCTGGCCTCAAAACTCAGAGATCCACCAACCTCTGCTTTCTGAATACTGAGATTAAAGGTGTGCACTATCACACCCAGCTCTAAGCTTTTCCTTAATTCCTTCCCACAAGGTGGAAATTTAGCTGAGTAGGATATTGCCCTAAGGTCACTATTGCCTTTATTTCATTTCTTAATCTGTTTATCTCCTTGAACACAGAATTTCCACTCCCTGGTACTCCTTTTCTCCTAAAATTGTACATTTGACCACACAACTAGGCTGTGTTGACATTTTCTTTGCCTCAGTTAATGGAGTTAATCCAAATCTCTTCATTTTAGCCTCAGGCAGACTCTTCAGACAAGGGCAAAAAGCAGCCACATTCTTCACCAAAATATCACAAGAACAATCTCTAGGCAACATACTAAAATTCTTCTCCTCTGAAACCTCTTGAGCCAGATCCCACAGTTCAGATCATTCTCAGCACCTCTGTCTTCCATGCTCCTACTAGTATGGCCCATTAAGCAATGCTTAAAGCATTCCACTGCTTTTCTAACCCAAAGTATCAAAGTCCAAATTTTCCAAACAAAAACATGGTCAGGTCTATCATGATCCTTAATCCCTGGTACCAACTTCTGTCTTTGGGGTTCTATTGCTGGAAAGAAATACCATGACCAAAGCTACTTTTTTTTTTTTTTTTTTTTTTTTTTAGACAGGGTTTCTCTGTGAAACAGTCCTGGCTGTCCTGGAACTCACTCTGTAGACCAGGCAGGCCTCGAACTCACAAAGATCCACCTGCTCTGCCTCCTAAATGCTGGGATTAAAGGCATGCACCACCACCACCCAGCCACAGCTACTCTTATAAAGGAAAACATTTAATTGGAAGGCTTGCTTACAGTTTCAGAGGTTTAGTCCATTATCATCATGGTGGGGCATGGCAGCATGCAGACAGACATGGTGCTGGAGAAGGAGCTAAGAATGCAGAAGGGGCTACATCTTGATCCCACAGACAACAGGAAGTGGTCTGAGACACTGGATATAACTTGAGCATAGGAAACCTCTAAGACCACCCCCACAGTGACACACTTCCATCAACAAGGTACACCTCCAACAAGGCCATACTTCCTAATAGTGTATCTTAGTTAGGGTTACTATTACTATGACAAAACACCATGACCAAAAAGCAAGTTGGGGAGAAAAGGGTTTATTAGGCTTACACTTCCATATTACTGTTCATTATCAAAGGAAGTCAGGACAGGAACTCATTAAGGGCAGGATCCTGGAGACAGGAGCTGATGCAGAGCCATGGAGGGGAGCTGCTTACTGGCTTGCTTCCCATGGCTCACTCAGCTCATATTCTTTTAGAATCCAGGACCAGCAGCCCAGGGATGGCCCCACCCATGATGGGCTGGGCCCTCCCGCATTGATCACTAATTGAGAAAATGCCTTACAGCTGGATCTCAAGGGGCATTTCCTCAGCTGAGGCTCCGTCCTCTGATGACTCTAGTGTGTGTCAAGTTGACACACAGAACCACCCAGTACCTAGTGCCACACCCTCTGGGGCTATTTTCTCTCAAACCACCACAAGTATGTGGAGGTGAGAGGGGAATTTGAGGGAGCTGTTCTCGCCTTCTGAGTAGCTCCTGGAGGTCACATTGGACTCACGCTTGGCAGCAGGTGACATCACCACTTGAGCTGTCGCATCCACCGTTCAGCTCTCCTTCCTTCTTATGAGCTAGTGTTTCACGTGGGTCAGACTGGCCTTGAACTCTGTCCACAGCCTCTTGAAGTTATTATGGGCTTGAACTCTTGATCTTCGTGCCTGCACCTCCCAAGTGACGGTGTGCTTTGCCACACCCAGCTGGGAAGTCATTGTCTAGGACGAGAAACCACCAAGGGTTTCCTTGATCACGGTACCTATCTCTTACGCATGGTAGTGGAGGACTAGTAAGTCAGGAACAGGGAACAAAGACTGGAAAGAGTAAAACTTACTTAACATAGGTTACATAACAATAAATCCAAAAGTCTAAAAACTAATGACAAATTTAGCAAGGTATTATAGTTATTTATAGAAGTAGTGCTGGTTGTAGTAACCCATGCCTTTAATCCCAGCCCTGGGGAGGCAGAGGCAGGCAGATCTCTGAGTTTGAGGTCAGCCTGAACTACATAGAGTTCCAGGCAGGCAATGAGCTACACAAAGTAACCTTGTTTCAAAAAATAAATAAGTATATAACCGAAATAAAATAACTAAGGCTGGAGCTTAGATCAGTGGTAGAACATTTGCTTTGCAAGTATGAGGCATGAGTCCATGCCCAGCACCACAGAAATAATAATAATAGTAGTAGTAATAATATAAAATATAGGAAGCTGGGCACAATGGCTTATTGCCTGAATCCTAATACTGAGGCCAAGACAGAAGGATTGCTATGAGTTAAAGGCCAGCCTGATCTATATATCAAGTTCCAGGCCAGTCAGGGCTACATAGTAAGATGCTGTCTTAAAAAAAAAAATCCAAATCCCTGGTAAGAGCATAATCTGTTGTTCAATGGGTAACAGAAGTCGAAACCCCATGTGTAGTCCTGACGTGCATTCCTCTAGTAACGCTGCTCGCATGGCAAAGGAAAATGTCGCACATCCGCTGTCCTGGAACTCCAGGCCCTTTCACTTGTAACTCTACTCCCAGCTGTTTTATTTTGCTTGGGTCAGGATCTCACTCTGTAGCCCAGGCCTGACTGAAATTCATTATTATATTTAACCCCAGGCTGGCCTTAAACTTACAGCAGTCCTCCTGTCTCATTTTCCCAAATACTGTGATTATAGGTACAAGACACCAAGCCAGGCTTACAAAGGCTTTTTTTTTTTTTTTTTTTTTTTTTTAAGTCTTTCAAAACAGGGTTTCTCTGTGTAGCCCTGGTTGTTCAGGAACTCGCTCTGTAGACCAGGCTGGCCTCAAATTCACAAAGATCCTCCTGCCTCTGCTTCCAGAGTGCTGGGATTAAAGATGTGTGCCACCACTGCCCAGCACAAAGGCAACTTAAAACCTATTCAGGTCCTGTAAAAAAGCAGTTCTCATACCTGACAGACGTGAGGACTTAGGGCCTTCAAGAGCAATGAAGGCATTCTGCCTGCCTCTGAGGGTGGGAGCCGGGGAAATGTTTGGTTGGTAATGGTGCCGCTCTGAGCGGGGTCTCCGGAGAGGGAGGAGGACAAAGCAGCTTCATTCCTCACTTGGCCCTGTCACCCCGCAGCCTTCCTCCGTGCCGGTGGATCTGCAGGGAGACAGCTCCTTACAGGTGGAGATTTCTGATGCAGTGAGTGAGCGGGACAAAGTGAAGTTCACTGTTCAAACCAAGGTAAGGTGGCCTGTTGGCCAGGAGACGGGAGGCAGAACCAGTGCAGCTTCTGCCCCTTAGGAAGCTGTCAGCCCTGAGCTGAGGCGCCACCTTCCTGAATGAAATCACAGGTTTCACATGGGGTGCAGGATGGGAATGCCAAAAGTGGGTGCTGAGCAGGTTTGGTGAGCAGGTTTGGTGAGGGCAGCTTTTGGGGGAGATGAGCTCTTATGCAGGTCTCTGGGCTTCCAGAGTGGCCTCCCTCAGTTTGCCCAGCCTGAGTTCTCAGTGGTTCGGCAGCACGAAGAATTCATCTGGCTACACGACACCTATGTGGACAACGAGGAGTATGCTGGCCTCATTGTGAGGAGGGGCTGGGCTGGGCTGTGAGGGCAGGCCGGGAACATGGGTTAGGACACAGGCTTTGATGGCCTCCTTGGCAATCCATCCCTCCTTTGAGCAGATTCCTCCAGCCCCTCCCAGGCCAGACTTTGAGGCTTCAAGGGAGAAGCTGCAGAAGTTGGGTGAGGGAGACAGCTCCATCACCCGGGAAGAGTTTGCCAAGATGAAGCAGGAGCTAGAGACGTGAGTGTCCAAACCCCATCCCTCCCCATCCCCAGAGCCCCAGGGTTTCTTCTCCAACTCTGACACATGTCCAGAGAGCCTGACCTCTGGGCCCAGGTCTGCTGAGGGAGAGGGGGAGCTGTGACGATGGGAGCCCAGTGTGGTTGTCAAGCTGCCCATGCTCCTACAGGGAGTACTTGGCCATCTTTAAGAAGACTGTTGCAATGCATGAAGTCTTCCTGCAGCGCCTGGCAGCCCATCCCACCCTGCGTCATGATCACAACTTCTCTGTCTTCTTGGAATACAGCCAGGATGTGAGCTGGTTGAGAATGCTGGGATCTGAGACCAGGGCTGGGGAATCAGGCCTGAGAATTTCTCTCAGTTTGCTCCCTGTGTGGGTGGCATTTGACCAGGGTAGAAGGTACCAATGCCCCACACTAGTACCTCCCCCTCCCCCGTGTGCTTAGTTGAGTGTTCGAGAGAAGAACAGGAAGGAGGTCTTGGGAGGTTTCCTGAGGAACATCGTCAGATCTGCAGATGAAGTCCTCATCACTGGCATATCAGGGCTCAAGGTGACCCTCGGGCTGTGGGAGGGAAGCCACTGGTTGGGCCTACCCTGGGCTGCCAGGGTGACACACTGGGCGTTGGTGCCACCATGCTCCTGATAACTGGATAAGAAGTGTTTTTTCCATCCTTTAGGAGGTAGATGACTTCTTTGAGCATGAGAGGAGCTTCCTAGTAGAATACCACAACCGAATCCGAGATGCCTGCCAGAGGGCTGACCGGGTTATGCACTCGCACAAGTGTATGAGGGGTTGAAGGGCCCACACCATGGGGGGGGGGGGGCTTGACCTGTAGATTTAGGGGCTCTGACTGGATTGTCCTCCAACAGGCCTGGCAGATGACTATATACCTATATCTACTGCGCTGAGCAGTCTCGGAAGCCGGGAAGTCAGCCAGCTCAAGAGGTAAGGACTCACATCCTTATCCTCTCCCCGTGCCTCCAATACTGTGTGTACCCATGAGGTGTGTGCACTCTACAGAAATCCAGGTTGGGGAAAGGGGTTGTGCAGAAGCTTCTGAAGCGGTTATGGGAGAGATTCTGAGGAGGGTTTGAGGGCAGAGAGGCCTTGAGCTGCCCCCAGATTCCTGCCTTCCACCTCCCAGGAGCTTCCTGAAGCTGGCCGAGCTCTTTGAACGACTGAGGGTAAGTGCCACCTTCTGCACTCAGGGACTTCTGTGGAGAGCCTTCTGGGATGGGTGGCTCCCACTCTAGACTGCTTTACAAAGAAATGGAATGGAGCCAGGCTGTGGTAGTGCACACCTTTAATCCCAGCACCTGGGAGGCAGAGGCAGATAGATCTCTAAAGTTTGAGGCCAGCCAGCCTGGTCTACAGAGTGAGTTCTGGGACAGCTAAGCCTACAACAAAGAAATCCTGTTTTCAAAAACAAAAAAAAAAATATTAAGGAAATGCAAAAAGCATGCCATTCTAAGTGAGTGTATGAAATGGGTGAGGGGTGGGAGCAAGGCACAAAGTACCACACACCTCTGGAAGACTGCCTTGAGCCACCAACATTCTGTTGAGATACATAATCCTCAAACTCTTCCAAAGTTCATGGAGTATGCCAGTCTCTCTGAAATGTGTGCTTAAGGGCCTTGTCCACCTCAGAACCTACCCAAGATGCAGGGCCCTTAGTGTGCCCTTTGGGGTTTTTTGTGATCTGGTCATGGCCACCCTACTCTGCTTTGCCTATGTAACCAACTGAATATGTGGTTCACTAGGCTTGTACACACATACACACACTTCCCTGGCCTGCCCTCTGAAACTCAGAGCCTGATCCACAGTGGTCACCAAGCAGTTCTCTCCTGGACATGTAGAGGAAGGACCTCCAACCCTTTAGTCCCTTTCTCAAGCCCCTTCCCAGTCTCACCTTCCTGACACAGAAGCTGGAAGGCCGGGTCGCCTCTGATGAGGACCTGAAGCTGTCTGACATGCTGAGATACTACATGCGAGACTCACAGGCAGCCAAGGTGAGGTGGCCCTCGGTACTCAGGGATGGAGGCCATGTGGGGAGGGCAGGCGGCAAAACCCATGGCAACAGTCATCTGTGCTGATGGCCTCAGGACCTGCTGTACCGGCGGCTTCGGGCACTGGCTGACTACGAGAACGCCAACAAGGCACTGGACAAAGCTCGTACAAGGAACCGGGAAGTGCGACCAGCAGAGAGCCACCAACAGCTGTGCTGCCAGCGCTTTGAGCGCCTCTCTGACTCCGCCAAGCAGGGTGAGCCCTGAAGCCTGGCATGGCCCCAGTGAACCACCACATTGACCGTTCTTATTCCTTTTCACTCTTCTCTCCAGAGCTCATGAACTTCAAGTCCCGCCGGGTCTCCTCTTTCCGTAAGAATCTCATTGAGTTGGCAGAGCTGGAACTCAAACACGCCAAGGTGAGGAGGGACCACTCACTGCCCACTCCCCCCTCCATGAGCTGTTCCGCTCTTCTTCCTCATGGGGGGGTGGGGGGTGATGATGGTAAGCAGCAGTGTACAGCCAGGCCTAAGGTCAAGGGAATGCCTCCACTCCTGGGGCCAGGATTTTCCCTCTTCCCTGGGTGGTAGGAAGGGGACCTGGAGGCTGAGCAATGATACAACAGCACCAGCCCTCAAAGGACTTCTCTCCTGCAGGCCAGCACACTGCTTCTGCGGAACACCCTTGTTGCCCTTAAGGGGGAGCCCTAGTGAAACAAGATGCTACTGAGATCTTCATTGACAAGAGTCCTCACCTCCTACCATCTCCCCTAGAGATGCCCCCTTCTCTACCAAAGCAGCCAGTAGCCATACCCCACTCAGGAACCTTTTTCCTCAAACCCAGGCCCCAAAGACAATTGGCCTGCCTGACAGGGCAGCACGGGGGACACGAGTGGCCACAGGTAAGCAGTTTCCAGGGACCCTAGCCTTCCTCACAGCAGGCTTAGTCAAGTCTCCACACCTCCACCCCACCTCTGGCTTTTGAATTCCCATCTGTTCTTTACAAATAAACAGCCTGGTTTTATAGCCAGGGGATCTGCTTGCCTTTACTTTTCACAGGACACCACCCTTTTAAGGAGACATGATGGGAGCCCACACACTGGGGACTCAGAGACAGTCCTGCAATCCCACAGCTTTTTTTTTTAAATATGGAACGCTTCACGAATTTGCGTGTCATCCTTGCGCAGGGGCCATGCTAATCTTCTCTGTATCATTCCAATTTTAGTCTATGTGCTGCCGAAGTGAGCACCCCACAGCTTTTTTTTAATTCTTCATTTTCTTTGTTTGCCACCTGTGTACCTAGTCCCTGTGGGGGTTCTAAGAAGGCATCAGATCTCCTGCAACTGGAGTTATAGATGGCTATGAGCCTCCATTTGGGTGCTGGGAACTGAACCTGGGTCCTTTTGAAGAACAACCAGTACTCTTTAACCACTGAGCAATCTCTCCAGCCCATCCCACAGCTCTTTATCAAATGACAATAGGTTTATACTTTTGAGGTTTGTATCAATCTGTTGGTTGCTATAGCTCAGAGGGAAGGAGTGCTCACCTGGGTTCAATACTCAACACCGCAGAAAAACAAGGTTAATATTCAGTATTCTTCCTATGCCTGTCTTATCTTAATCTTACACAAAAGAGTAAAATGGGCCAACCTTAATGGGTCTGTGGCCTTGGTGAGAAATCAGGGAACATGTAGCATAAAACCTCAATAAAGGGGAAAAAAAAGGCCTCTGATTGGGGAAGATTTAAACTCAGGGTACTACCCCAGTTCACCTGCCCTAGAGCACAGTTTCTGCAGTCCTCAGGGCACAGGCTGGGATCCACAGAAATGCTAGTAAAATGCTCAAAGCTTTAACTCTAGTTATAGGAGGTGGGGCTCTAGACACCCGGGTCTGAAGTCCTGGGCTCCACCTGGCTGACCCACCCCGAATGGACTCCAGCCGCAAGTACAGGAGGCCAAAGGCCCAACTTAAGCTGCTCTCAGCACCACTGAACCTGACACTAGGGTGAGCCAGTCACCTCAGGGGGAGGAAAGGCAGAGATCTAACAGAACCTTAAAAACCAGAAACTAGTTCAACAGATCACCTGAGAAAACTGTATTTAACCATACGTGGAAAGGGGATCAATGCGCCTCACTGTCCACTGTGAAGACCCAGTAACAGTGAGTTTCAGGTGTGACACACTCTGGACCCAACCCCCTAGGCACCACCAACCCCAGCACCCCACCTCAAAAAGGAGGCTTTGTCACTGGGGTCTGGGATAGAGGCACAGCACAGGAAAACCACTGATCCTTACCAATCATCCCCATCACAGGGTCCCCCCAACCCTAAACCCAAAAAGCCACCTTGTTAATTAGCCTTTTTATTGTTTTTTTGTTTTTGTTTTGTTTTGTTTTAATTGAAGGTCCCTTACTGGTCCTGCTTCCATGAGTG